CACCTACGTTCCTACCCACCACCCTGGGCCTTATTTCTACTTGACTGAGGAAACTGAGGCACTGAGAGGTTAAGCAAGTGATTGGTTCAAGGTCACTCAGCTGCTGGGTTTGGTTCCAAGATCTGAGTGCTTTACCTCTGCACCAGCCTGCCCTGGATGGAAGGGGTCCTGCAGGGGCAGTTTGTGCCCTGACTGGGAGCGGGAATGCTGTCCTAGGTCCTGTTGACAGCAGGCGTTTACACATGGTCCAGGGGCATCCCTGTGCCTGGCATGCCCCCATCTGGGCTTCAGCCCACCTCTATGGTACATTTGTGTGAATTAGAAAAAGGCGCCCGCTCTCTGTGCGTCAGCCCTTGGCACGGCCCCTTGGGGAGGGGAGTGAAGGCTGGGCTTCTGCATGCACTTGATCCCTTAGTCAGGCATTCTGAGCAGGGCGTTCACGGGATAGGCAGTCAGGTGATGCCTTTGCCTGGGACACTGCTTCTCTCCCTCGTGGCACTTGGCTGACTCCAGCTCATCCTGTAAGACTCCTTTTAACAACTGCCGCTGCCACGATTAAATGAAAAGCAAAACAGAAGACTGCCACCTCCTCTGGGAATCCACCTTCCCTCTCTGTGTCCCCAGCCCTTGTGCTTCCCTCTGACTTAGCACCAGTCCTTCTCTGAAATGGCCTGCTCATCTGTCTGTCTCCCTCCAGAAGCGGGGCTGCTGGTGAGGGCAGGAAGCATTTCTTTCTCATCTCTGTGTCCTCAGCCCTAGCATGGTGGCACCAGGCAGATGCTCAAACTCAAGAACAAACAAATGAGTGAATGAATGAACGAAAAGAAAGAGAGAGAAGGAAAGCATGCATTTATAAAAGTTTCATCTTATCACTCCGCTTAATCCTCACAACAGCCCTGGGAGGGCAGTGCCGTTATCATGTCCATTTTACAGAAGAGGAAACTGAGGCTCCCAGAGGTTTGTGACTTGCTGGAGGTCACACAGTATGCAGGAGGCAGATGCTAGAGCTGAGCTCTGCTCTCCCAGCTGGCCGTGGTGGAGGGATGGTCTTCTGAGAGGCAGGGGGAGCTAAAGGTGTCAAAGGCCTAGGCCAGTGGCCACAGCATGGCTTTGTCCCTCAGTGGCCCCAGCTTCGTGGACACATCTGCCCTCATTCGGCTGCCGGACGACTGCACTGTGGGCTACATTGTTGAGTGCAAGCTGGGCGGCCACCTGCAGCCCAGCCCCCTCTTCCACTCCCACCTGGAGACCCTGCAGCTGCTGGGGGCCGCCCAGCTCCCGGAGCAGGTGAGTCAGCCTCGGGGCTAAGGTGGCAATGGGGGAGGTGTGCATGTGGGGCAGATTTGGGGCAACCAAAACCAAAGCACCCTAATGGTTGGGGTTTTCAGAGCCCTTGCTGTGCCAGGCACCATACTGGGGGCCTTATCTTCTTTATCTCTCTGGTTCCTTACAACATTCACATGGGTGGATTCTAACATTATTCCCATACTACAGATGGAGAAACTGAGATCCAGAGAGCAAAATTAACTGGCACACAGCTAGAAAAGGACAGAGAAGGATCTGAACTCTGGTTGGATGACCCCCTAAGCCCACAGTCTTTAACCTCTGTGCCTGACTGCCTCTTGTGTGGGGTCAGCATCCCACATCTTCACTGCATGTGAAGTAACCTGAGGCTGTGGGTGGAGAAGGATTGCCAAGGCCCTAGAGTGGGTCTCAGGAAACCTCCGTCCAGGCACACAACTTACTGGAAATGTGCCTTCCCCTCTTGAGCCTCAGTTTCCCAATCTGTAAATGAGGGAATTGGTCCAGCCTCCCAGATAAACTAGACTCTTAGGGGCACAGATAGGTTTATGGGCAAATGGGAGTGGGGTGGGCTCCTCATTGCTAATGGTGGAATTTCAGGCGCAGAGGCGGGCTTTCTGTGCCCCTGAAAAGCCTTATGTGCCTTCTCTGTTTCTGCCCAAATGATGCCCCCTGGTGGTGTCCCCAGTGGGCTACCCCTCAGCCCTTCACTCTTCTCTGCTTCTCTCTGCACAGGTGACGCTCAGCTATGGTGTCTTTGAAGGGAAACTCAATGTCATTAAGCTCCATGGCCCCTTCTCCCCTGAGGAGGACCCCTCCAGGTGGGTCTGGGGGCTGAAACTGTAGAATGGAAGAGTGGGGCCTGAGTCCAGGCATCCAAAGATGGGGGAGCTGGGAAGGAGGGGAGTGAGAGAGGTCAGTGGCTGACAGCACAAAGCTGGGAGTGGAGGGAGTGGATTTCAGTCTCCGCTCTGTCACTGGATTGCTGTGTGACCATGAGCAAGTGTCTTGCCCTCTCTGGACCTCAGTCACCCTATTTGTAATACAAGGAGGCTGGGCGTCATGGATCTGAAGGGCTCTCCCGGGCCTAAGCCTCTGGGGTTCTTTAGGAGCCCCTGGAAGACAGAAATGTCCTCACTGAACAAAGGAGATGCTCTAATGGAGGAAACCTCAGGCACTCGTGGGGAATTTAAAAAAGAATATTTCTTAGGCTCTTTGTCTCTTTGGTGATACTTTTCGATGGATAGAAGGTTGCAGTGGGGGCTAAAATATCAGCTAGGCACCTTCCAGTTCTGTCCCCAAACAGGCCCCAGGGGGATTAGGACTGTTCAGCTCAGCCCTCTTCATCCTGCCCTGGTTGCTGTAAAGCAGCTTTGCACACAGCCTCTGACACCCTGGGGCAGGGGAACAAGACCTACTCAAGGAAGTAAAAGAAGCCAGTGTGACCAGAACGTGGGAGAAGAGAGGAAAGTGGCATTAGATTCAGTGGGGGAGGTGGCAGGGAACCCCCTGCCCCACCCCATGCCCCAAAGGCCTTCTGGACTCTGTCTGGCTTTGGATTTATCTGAGGTGTGTAATCCTTAGAGGAGCCAGCACTTCTGCCCTTGAAGTCCTACAGAGCTGTCTGTCTGTCTGTCCCAAGGCTGCTGGGCCCAGGGCTGTTGTGAACCAGTTGGACATTACAAGGGGACAGAGTTTGGCTCTATACGGGGAAAAGACATTCAAATTCCAAGATGAAAGGTGTTGCCTTCTAATGGAGTGAGCTCCCCATCAGTGGAGGTATGCAAGCTATGGCTATACTGCCAGGAGGTTTAAGACTTGGTATTGAATTCTCTCAAAGCCAGAAGATTCTAGATTCTCTAAGTTCCTGCCTAATGGGGATGGAACCAACATGTGTGGTCAGATGGTACGGCCTCAGCTGAGATCTCTTCATGGTTTCCCTGGCTTTTGAAGTCTTTATAAGCCAGTGGTTCTCAACCAGGGGCCATTTTGCACCACTCCCTGCCCCAGCCAAGGGACAATCGGCAATGTGTGGAGACATTTTTAATTGTTAAGACTCGCAGGGATGCTACTGGCATCTTGTAGGCAGAGACAAGGGATGCTGCTAAAATCCTACAATGCAAAGGACAGCCGCCCACAACAAAGAATTACCTGGCCCCAAATGTTAATCATGCTGAGGTGCAAAACCCTGCTCCAAACCATCTCTAGGACACGTGTTCCCCTAGGAGCCTGTGCGGGTGACTGTCTTGTCCATTTCTGGTCTCTCCACAGGTTTCGTTCCCTCCATTGTCTCCTCTACCCGGATACTCCCTGGTGCCCACAGCTGCTGGCCCGGTGAACCCTGAGCTGCGGGGCAAAGTTTGGGCTGAGGCCTCTGATTGTCCTTCACCTTCCGGGCAGCCTTGGGGGCTTGTGGCAGGTCCTGTGTGGTTGGCAGTTCCTGGCAGGGTCTCTGAGTGGTGGGAAAGCCCAGGATTGGATGGTGGCTGGTGCTGCCACCCCCTGGGAGGTGGGTTGGACAGCTCAGGACCAGGTGCACCAAGTGAGGGCCAGAAAGGCCTCAGGGGCTGGGCTTCCATAGGCCTTCGGTGGCTGAACTGGAACAAAGGTGGGAGTCCTTGAGCTGCTTAGGCTCGGGGAGTCCTAACCCTCCAGAGAATTCATGGGCCTCTGGGTGCATTCTGGCTCCTGCCCACTCTGGTCTCTCAGTCACTCCCCTATGGCCAAACACTGAGCCACCCATTCTTGGCTTGATTGGCTGGATCCCCAGCCACTGGCAGGACCCAGGTGGCAGAATGGCAGGCTCTGTGGCAGATACTGTTGCTGGTGACCAGTCTCCAGCCCCTGCTCCCCATCTGATTTTGTTCGGAGCATCAGCATGCTCAGATCCAGATGGTGGGTCAGAATGGGTTCCAGCCAATCATGATGATCCTTTTGCTCACTTTCCTGGCTTCCCTTGCTGTTAGGGACTGCCATGTGACCCAGATCTGGCCAGAGCCAGAGCTCTATCTGTTAGTGTGAACTAAGCAAGGACAGCAGAGATGTTTCTGGGGAAGGTTTTGCAGCCCTATAACTCATCTTCCTGCTGTGAATGTGGGTGTGATGTCTGGATCTCGGGCAGCCACCTTGCTGCCGTGAAGGAAAGGCCAAGACAATCATCCACAGCTATCCCTTCCAAAATCTGGTTCTGTGAGAAAATTAAACCCTTGTTTGTTTAAGCCTCTCTTGATTCAGTTTTCTGTTAAATGCAACCAAAGTCATTTCTGACTGGGGCAGGGTCTTTGATCCGTTCTCTCAGTGGTGTCCGTCTGGGTCCTCGAGCTAGACAGCCCTGCTCTGCCTTTGCTGGTTGTGTGACTTTGGGGAAACTGTTTGGTCTCTTTGGCCTGTTCACTCATTTTATAGATGAGAAAAGGAGTTGATATGTGGGTGAAATGATGCAGGGTTTGTAAAGGGCACAGCACAGAGCCTGGCATGGGGAAAGGAATGGCTCAGTGAACAGTAACTGTTAGGAGCGAGTACTGTGTTCTGGTGTGTTGGCGTGTGAGCATGTGCATAGGTGTGTGTGTGTGTGTGTGTGCCGTGTACCCTTCTACCCTTGTCTGTGCATAAGGACAGATGTGTGATGGTGTGTGGATGTGTTTGTGCCTATGTCACACTTCTGTGTGACACGCACACATGTGAATATATGTGTGCCACGAGGTGCTGGTTTGCCGGGAGTGATTCCTCCTTTTATCTTCCCTCATGGCCTGGGTTGGCGGTGGCCAGAGAATTAGGGAAGGCAGAATGGAGCTGAGAAATTCAGGCTCTGGTATTAGATAAAGGGACACTTTGACAGCCAGGGTAGGAGCTGAGTATGTAAGTGCCTGTAGAATTTCAGGTCCCAAAGAGACTGCATGACTGAATGAAAGTAAGCATGGTGAAATTTCAGGCCTGGTGGTGCCTGGCGGGAGGGGAGGGAGGGAAGAAGAGGAGATGTCAGCTCTCAGTCCGCATCATGCCCCGTGATGCTGGGGAGTCAGGGTCACAGTGGGCTCGAGGCTGGGTGGGAGGAGGGAGAAGAGGGCCCAAGAGATGGAGGAGCTCTGACCCAGGCAGCTGAGCCTGGGGACTCCTCTGGAGCACGTCCTCTGGCCCTTGGAGGACCTTGTCCCTGCTGCAACGCTGTCTGGGCTGATGGGAATCTCTGAGCACTGGAGCCTTAGCACCTTGTTTTCCGAGGAGGAGCCTGACCCAGAGAGGGACCACCGTGTACTTGTTGGTGCAGAGCCAGGCTGCTTGGACTCTTCCAAAACCCCCTTTCTTTCTGGGTTGACCTAAGACTGGGTTTGTGGGATGTGGGCCAAGTTGGGGCGGACCCTGGGCCCACAGCCTGGTAGGGACGGACTGGTGTGCTCCACAGCCGTTGTCCCCTCCACCCTGTATGCAGAAGGCGGCCGGCCAGCCCACTTTTAGAAGCAGCAGCAGATTTGCGGGTTGTTCCCAGATCCTGAGGGTCGGGTGGAGGGAACAGGACTCGGGCCATCTGCTGCCTCCATTGTCCCAGAATAGCTATGGTCGGGAGGGGGAGCAGAGTCAGCAAGGATCAGAATTGGGATGGAGGAAGGAGGGAGTCTGGGTTTAACCCTTTGTGACTCTGTGTGGCAGGGTGTGTAGCTGCCCATAGGCTGTCCTCAGGTGACCCTTGTGGGCCCCACAGGCAGGGATTGTGGGGAGGTGAGTTTGGACCACCCTGTCTTAGCCTTGCTGGGCCCCTTGGGCAAGTGTTATTCCCATTTTACAGGTTACGAGACTGAAGCACAGAGAAGGAGGAGGCCTTTGGTCCAGGACAGAGGGCTTTTAGGGGCCAGAGCCAAGGTTTGAGGCTCCACAGTGGTCATCTCAGTGTGGGACAACTCTGGAGGATCGGAGGGCCTCATCAGGCCTGGGCGGTACCCTGCTTTGCACCTCTGCCTCTTTGCCCTTGGGCAGGTGACTTCATTGTTCACTGGCCTCACCTGTAAAATACACAATGACTTCTCCATAGCGTGCTGTGTGGTTTTGAGATGCTGCACTGAAAGCTCCTGGTGCAGATATTTGCTCAATAATCAGTATCTCCCTGCCCTCCCTGAGCTCAGTGTTCTTGGCTATAAAAGGGGGCAGAAGGTGTGCTGGACTGGCCATCACCTACCCTCCGCCATCACGCCTTGGCCATGGTCAGTCTCTCCTGTGTTGCCACTGCTGGCATCCCCTCAGGCCCCTCACCTATGTCCACAGGTGCTGGGCACACTTGCCTCCTCGTTACTCCTGGTGGATGCGCACCCCTCTGCCTGCACCAGCTTGTCCCTCTCCCTGCACCCCAATCCCTGGATTGCTCTTATTAAGTGTCAGTGTCCTCTCCTAGGGAGGCCCTCCCTGATCACCCACCACAGTGCGGCTGCCTGACCGCCATCACTTCACTCTGGGGTAGCTCTCTATGTAGCTGTAAACTTCGCAGACGCGTCTCTTGTCGGGGCACCTGCTCGCGCATGTGTTTGTTGTTTGCCCCCATCTGACTGTTGGCTCAGTGATCCCAGTGCTGGTTTTGCTCACTGCTGCTCACCTCCTGGCACAGATATTTGTGGGATGAGTAGGAAAATGAGTGAAATGGTTTTCTCAGAGCTCTGTCAGTTTTAAGATTCTTTGAAAGGTGCTAAAACCCCTTGGGGGCAAGGTGGCGGAGAAGCTTTATAATGGAGGGGTCCAGCTGGAGACATTGAGCGTTTTTAAATCTCACACAGAAAGGGATAATCTGACCATAAGTGCTCCTAATAACATGCAATTGGAAGGACACAGCTCTACCCGGGAGTCTGCTCACCAAAATAGGACCAATGTCCTACACATATCAGCCCTCTGGATCTAAATATCAGGTTTCAGGAAATGGGGTGGGGTACAGTAGGAACGTGTTAAAGGGCTCAACCCACCAAATCAACAATCAGGACAATTCTGCAGGACAAAAGAACCTGATATCTCCAACAAGTAAAACGGTATTAAAAAGAGAGGGAGGAAGGAATGTTAGAGATGAAAAGAGATTTAAGAGTCATAACAATAAAATGCAATGCCTGGACCTTGTTTAGATCCTAGTTCAAATGAATGGACCCTAAAAAGACATTGTGGAGAAAAATGAGGAAATTTGAACACAGACTTTATATTAAATGGTGTTAAGAAATTGCTAATTTTATTAGGTGTGATGAGGTTACTTTTTTCAGAAATGTTCTAATGTGGGAGAGATACATCTGCAATATATATGGGTGAAATGATATACTGTCCAGAATTTTCTTTAAAGAGATGCTTGGGAGGAAGGAATGAAATAAGGATGTTAAAATGGGGATGGCTGTTGAAGTGGGGTGATGGGCACATGGGGATTCATTATGCTATTCCCTTTACTTTGGTGTGTGTTTGAAATTTTCCATAGTAAAAAGTAAAATTAAATAAATGAGAGGGCCTGTGGATATTCCATTTTGCTGGCTCTGTCCCTCCCCCTTCCCTTTTTCAGTTTCTCCCTCCTGTCCCCTGCTCCACGCCCCACATTCAGGCCCGGAGAACATCAGTTCTCATCAGACACTTCGGTCCTGACTCTACTTCCTGTTTCCCCCAAACACCCAGAGAAAGGAGAGGCAGACCTTGACCAGAAGCTGGCCCCTGCCTGATTTGCATTTTGCCTGTTTCCTGGTTTCCCTGAGGCCCATCCTGGTTTCTTTTCGTTCTAAGCAATTGTCCCAGTGGCTTTGTAACCCACCAGGACTTTCCTTGGGCACAGTCACTGGGCAGATTCCTCTGCCCACTTACCACTCCTCCTAGTTATCCATCCAATAAAAATGTACTGCTCACCTCTTCTTGTGTGTGTGTGTG